ATTTTGTGGCTTATGGTTCCCAATCGTCAAAAAAGGAGGACTGGACGCAGCACGAGTCAAACCTGGTGTCTCGGTATCAGACGAGGTGGGCAACACAGGGACTGTGGCGTTTCCACATTCAGGCATTTCTAAGGTAACCAGCTTTTTTCAAATTCAGTTACGATTCAGAAAGCATCAGGTGACAGGATTGGGGGTAACCAGCTGCCACTGTGGCACACACACACACACACACACGCACACACACACACAGGTTTGCTGTGCTGCTTTCAAGATAGCTACAATCTTTACCTCAGAGAATAGGACAGAGACAGAATCAAGTGCAGCCCATTCACATATACTGTTTATAGCCTAACAAACCTTCATTTGCAGCTAGCAGACTTCTACTGAATAATTCAACTAAAAAAAATAACAATATAAAAAATAAGTGAAAGAAAAATCTTCTCTTCCTGCAAGTAGCTTGAAGGCACCCAGGTGTTTTTTATAGATAAATACTGCATGCTGTCACAGGGGGGTCTGATGTGTTCAAACTAGACTTCATGGGCAGAACTAACTTTCTTTCTTTTTTTTTGCCTTCAAGCTGCAAGAGTCGTAGCACCGCAACACAGCGGCAGCTTTCTCGCACGGATTCCTTTAAATTGGGCGAGAATTTAAAGCCTGTCTGGTCTGATCGATAGCCGAAATCCTAATCAGCATCAGCATCGTGAGAACAGACAGAATCCTTCTGCTTTTCATAGATAAATATCAGCTACTGTCAAATGGGAATACGTTGTTTACAGACTCTGGCTGGGAAACAGAAGAAAGCTAATGCTCAAACCTACCTCACTACCCTCAGTAAAAACTATTCTGAGGCTGAACAGTCCCAAAGCTGATGTTCTTCGTGGAATAAATGAATTAGAGCAGGGTTATCTCAATATATATATGTTTACATTCAACATTTGCATAAATATCACAAAACTCTGTTTCTCTTGAAAACATCTGCAGCAGTGGACACAGATGTAAGGTGCTGCACTGGGGTGGGTTTAAAACTCAAGACAAACAATGATATACATGTTCACTCACACATAACTAATAACCACACATGGGAAATGAGTCTGAATTTGAAAAAAAAAAACATGTCTGTTATATGCTTGGCAGTTGCCATTTTAATATTAGCAGAGACGCATACATGTGCTGATTTTTCAGCTCAGGCGAGCCCTGCACTCTTTGTGACCATGCTTAACAGAAAAAGCATAACTGTTTTACCATTATGACTGATGTATTTCATACTGGGTTAAAGGGACTTATCGGGGATGTCGAGGCTTCCCTTAAGTCTAATCATATCATAAGTTAAAACCCACAGTGGGAGAAGTGTAAGTAGAGTCAGATCTGCCTGTTTCGTACAGTAACACCAGTCAAACATCAGACCGAAATGATACGTTCACAGTTTAGATCACAATGCAGCAGCTGTTTTAAACTTAGTAACATTTCAGCTTATAAAGGCAAATATAAGCACACAGTTTACATTATACAGAACTAGGGATGGGTACCGGTATCCGGTGCCATGATGGCACCGGTTCTGACATAAACGGTAGTAACCAGACCGAAAAGCAGCGCACATTTCGGTGCTTTATTTCGGTGCTTTTTTTCCCTGAGCACTTTAGATTCTAGCCAATCATTTTACGTTTCCGAGGATAGTAGACGGGCCCAGGTACG